CCCACACGTCCTACAGCAGCTATTCCCAGGGGCAGAGCCTGTGCTCTTGACCTAAGAAGTGTAGGACTTCCTGGGGTGAGAGTTTGGATGGACAAACTAATGGACAGTTGTATGAATGGAGGAGTCGGAAGGCGAGGGGTGGATGGATGCACCGACGGATGAATGGGTGGATTTGCCACCCGACACTGGGGGTCATGCAACCTCAAACTATGGGCTCACTCTCTTGCCCTCATAAGACCCTTTATGGCCTGACAGCCCCCTGCTTCATCCCCCTGCCCTTCCACCATCCTTAGCCCCACTGGGAACCCACACTCCAGTTCTCCTCTGTGGGGCAGGTCCTCATGCTGGGTTCTGTGGCTACACTGCTGCAGAAGTCCCGGTGGAGGAGGCTGGTGGGGGGGGTGGAAGATGATGGGCCTTGGAATCAGACTAGCCTGGTTTATAATCCTGGGCCTGCTGCTTATTAGCTGTGTGATCTCGAGCAAGTTGCTAAACCCCTCTGATCCTTAATTCCTTATACAAAGTGGAAACAATAAAACCCATCTCATGGGGGTTAAATAGGGTAGCACTTGAAATGCACCTAGTGTGGTGGCTAATACTCAGTAGGCAACCTAGAAATATCTAATGAATGAAAGAATGAAGAAATGTACATTACTTTGCTTTTTTTCATGAACATAGCCGGGGCAGATGAAATATTTAAATATGGTTTAGAGACTTTTGGCCTTTTCAGTAACGCAAATGACTAGATAGTTATCCCAGCAGAGGATCTTAGATCATTTGCACCAGGTACAAAGGTAACTGGACCCAGTCAGGTTGCTTCCCTTCTCTGCACCTCAGTTTTCCTGCCTGTAAAATGGGCCAGGTTATACTCAAGCTCTGGCTGGGGGCAGAATAAGTGGAGTCCCAAGAGCTGATTGGCTCTTGGCAATGACCCACCTAACTCTTTACTGACCAGGCTGGAGAGGCAGCAAGAAGGGCCTTGAAAATGGATTAAAGAAGGAGCGGCTGGGAGACCAAACGTTACTAAATATTTTTTCCTTTTATGGGTCGGTGCTCTAGATCACCGCTTCCTGGAGATTGTATTCTAAACTTTGCTGTGATGGATGCGAGGTCCGCGTGCCCACGAGCTCCAGCGGAACCCAGATGTCACCCTGGGGGAGGGACGCTGCTTCTACCTTGCTATTTTAAGCCTCGAGTGTATAAGAATGGATGGGAGACAGAGCAAACGGGGCAGGAGCAGCGTGGGAATGGCCTCGGCAGGCAGGCCACTGGGGCTCCCCCGAGGAGCTCAGGTTCCGTCTTGTCAAGGGTGGGACCTCAGCCAGCCTCCACTCTGCTTTATGCCACAGCTGACGTCTCGTGGTGATTGTCTGACTTAATCTGCTTCTGTTTTACTCTGCCTTCTGACCCAGGGACTGACTTAAGGTCTTTCTTGAGGAGTAGGAGGTGGAAGAAAGGGAGATATTTCTGATGCGACTTCGGAACCCCATGATCCCAGAATCCTGTGGGATGGGGCCATCAAGTCTGTGGTTTGTTGTGACTAGGAAGAGTCCAGGATTTTAGGGACTTCCAGGGTTGGAAAAGACCCCTGAAGTGGGTTAGGAATCCTGTGACCCTTGTCCCAGCCTTTGCTGGAACTCTCCCTGGAACGGGGAGCTCACTACCGTAAGGAGCAGTCCATTTCACCTTCAGAAGGTTCCAACCACTAGAAAGCTTTCCCTCGCTTTGATCTGACCTTTCAGCCGTTGGTCCTGCACTGATCCTTTGGGGACAATAGAACTACACGAATGGTTTCCGAATATCTGAGAAGTGATTTTATTTCTCCCTGCACTTGCTCTTCTCCAGGCTAAAGGTCTTTAGTTCTTTAAACACAAATTCTGGTCCCCCTGCATCCTGCTTCTCCTTTTTGGAACATGCCTCAAGTTGTCTGAATCTTTCTTAGCATGCAGAGCATGATACGCTTTGTGTAGATTAAGACGTCAAGGAAAAGTGGAGCCGTCACCTCACGTGTTTTGGAAATCATACTCCTATTAAGACAGTCTGGACCTGCACATATATCACACATCATTTGAAGAGGTTTCTTGGAAGGTGTAACCAATTTCCCTAGTAGAATTGGGGACGTGGATACTCTTTTGCTACCCTCGACCCCTGTTACCATACACTTTGCCCAGCACCGCTGATGTCACTGCTGCTGAAGTCCAGGTGAAGGTGATAGAAATGAACCACAGAGCCCACCTTTGGGCAATCTTGATGCTCAGTTTATTCATACAGAAACCATTTGGGACGGGAGACACAGCATGCCCTGGCCCCATAGCTCTCATTCCCAAGAGCCAGGTCAAATCTGTCCAGTGGGGCTTGTCCCCTCCTGTCTCCCCTCTCCTCCAGGCCTCCACCTCTTCCGTTCAGAGACATTCCATTCAGCATTTCAGTGTTCAGGGCTCAGCTCAAACACCACGTCTAAGGTGGAATCTTCACCAGAACTACATCCCACCTGTCACAATTTCCACAGTTAGGGACCCTTTTCTGGGATCCTGCAACTTCTCACTTTCAAATTATCTACCCCATTATACTGTTTCCTACTGCCTCCCACCGCGGGACTCCGTGCTTCCTGAGGCCCAAGACATCTTCATCATCTCTACGTCACCAGCACCCAGCACAGGGCCTGGCAGGGGAAGCATCAAGTGTCTGTGGTGAATGAATGAGTGACTTAGTTCATGGATAGTCTACTTGAGATGAGGTTTCTTGAGCTGACCAGCAGGGGTCACCCCAACTGTTTCAGAGCTGAATGGGGCTACCTTTCCACCGCGGAGAATGACAAAAAAGTCAAGACGGTGGTTACAATGATCAACCCCGAGGCTAAAAGTCTCTAGTGCTTTAAATACAAATCAACGAGCAATTTTGGATGAATCTTCTGGGCGTCCAGGATGAATGAGACCCCTCGCCTGCCTCAGGTTGCTCAGTCAGGGGAGCATGTGTGGGTGCAGGCATCTGTCAGAGCTGTGGCTGATGCCGGATCTAAGCCTGCCCTGCACCCTCTGGCTCTAGGGCCTTTCCGAGCTCTATTTGTGGGGCAGGAAGAATACCTAGTTTCATGGGAGGGGGTGGGCCTTTCTGGCTCTTCCTCCTGCAGCCTCCAGCAGTCAGTGCCTCCACAGGACCCAGGACATAGTAGGGACTCAGTAAATGACAGCTTCCCTCATTCCCCCATGTGTGTCCCGGCAGCCTCCTGACTGTGGCTGAGGGCGGGGTCTGAGGATGACATCCGTGTCTGGTGGTTTTCATCCGCCATTCAGCAGAGCAACTCCTTCAGGGAACCTCTGAGGTTAGAGATCGGTGGTTGTTGGTTCTGCAGGTCCCTGAAGGCTTCCCCACAATAGGGGAAGGGGACCTGAAGTGGGAAGAGGCCAGGCAGAGCCCTCTAGACTCTGGTCAAGCTTCCTGGGCTGCACTGGCCCCATGAGCACCTATTCCACGCTGTCTCATTTCATCCTTGGAATAATCCTGCAGGGGAGGCGTTCTTATCTCTGCCAAGAAAACGAAGGCTCAGAGGTGAAGCCAGCGTTCAAGGCCACACAGCCAGTGAGGGGCAGAGAGGGGACTCAAATCCAGATATCTGGTTCCAAGCCTGTGCTCTCTCTCTTGCCATCCTGCCTCTCCAGATGGAGAGCTGACATTCCTGGTCTCTTTTGCTAAGAGGACGCAGAGGAGCCAGACCCATTGGCTTGGTCTGTTGGAGAGATCCTGTCTTAGGCCTCTTGACTGGCAAGACACGTGTAAGAGCAGTTAGTAGTTACAAGTAACAGGACAACTATTTACAAGTTAGTAGTTACAAGTAAACCCTACCCAAATGGACTTAAACACAAGGAGATTTAGTTGTTAGTGGAATTGGCTAGTTCCGAAAGAGTCCGGCTGCAGGTGAACTTTGATCGGGGCTCCAGCTTTGTTCCTCTGCAGGTCTCTCGACTCTGCCCCTCTCTGTGCGTGTCAGTTCCATCCTCAGTCTGGCCTTCCTCATGGAAGCAAAATGGCAGCAGCAGCACAAGGTTTCGTATCTGCACGCTCCGCCACCCAGAGCAAGAGAAAGCATCTGGGTCCCGGCACGCTGTTGTGTGCCCATTGGCTGAGGCTGGGCCTATTGTCTATCCCTGAGCCATTCACTGTGGTGAGATGGGTGAGATTATGCCAATTGGGGTCCATCCCAGCCAGGCTCAAGGCTGCTACACAATGGGGATAGGATAAGCCTGGCTTTGGGGAAGCAACTCACGGTTGCTGGGAGTGAGCACTGCACAAGACACACGAGGTCCATCCTGGCTGAGCCTCCAGAATCATGGCTTTAGCAGGGCTGACAGCCCATGAGGGCTGTCCGCAAGTGAGAGAGCCCTGTAGTGAGGGACAGGAGAGCTGCTGAAGGGCGTGAGACGAGCCATGGGGCAGGGAGTCAGGAAGCACCTTCCTTCCTCCTCCCCCGGCCAAGGAAGGCTGTGTGGTATAGTGGGAAGAGCCCTGGCCTTGGAATCAGAAAAATCTGGATTCAAATGCTTCATTCTTTATATGATTTGGGCAAGTGGTTGCCACTCCCTGAAGCCGTTCTCTTGTCTATAAAATGAGAACATTAATGCCGGCATCAGAGGTCATCGTGAGCATTCAATTAGGTGATCCTGGTGATGCTTCTAGGATAGTGCCTGGCACCCAGTAGGTGCTCAATCAATGTACACACGTGCACGTCTGATCCCAATGGTGTGTCCTCCACTAGCTGTGGCTTTGAGGAGTTGGAAGCACTTTTCTCCCTTCTGGGATAGTTGTGTTTACTGTAAGGACCCAATTAGATGCAGACTCTCTAAGGTCACCTCTGACTTTGTCAACAGAGCTGGAGAGCAGGAGGAAATGTCCTTCCCAGTGTCCTCTCCCGGCCTCCTCCAACCTCCGGGGTTGATGCAAGCTCGAGCAGGCTCTCTCTGCAGCTCGTGGCTCCTGGAAATGGAAGCCAGCTGGGGTCAGGGATGGCAGTGGATTTGACTTGTCCTTTTGGCGTCTCCTCAGCCTGTGGAGCCCAGGCCTCTTGGAGCATCTTTGGGGCTGACGCAGCGGAGGTTCCGGGCACACGCGGCCACTTCCGCCAGGAGGCTGCCATGCCCCACATTCCCGAGGACGAGGAGCCCCCTGGAGAGCCACAGGCAGCCCAGAGCCCTGCCGGCCAAGTAAGTGCCCCCTCCCTACCCGCAGCTAGCCTGGCCGGGGCCACGCCAAGCACCCTGGGCTGAGGCCACAGTGCCGGGCCTGGCCAGAGGGTTTGCCGGCAGCCTGTGCAGGCTGCAGTGGGCGCCTGGGGAAGGTGTGTGGCTTCCACACTGAGGAATAAATACCCCAAGTTCATTTGAATTGACCAAGGCCCCCACATACCCTAAGAGTGGAAGCTCCTAGGCTGTGTCTGAGTGGGGCCTCCCGGGAAGTCAAACGACCCCACCTTGCAGGCGCCCTCCTGGGATGGAGAAAGACCAGGGAAGAGCCATCAGCACAGAGGGCCTCGTCATGTCGGGGTCAAGGGCAGCAGCAAAAGGTCATTTAAACTGAGTCCACTTAAAATGAAGATCAAAATTTCATAGTAAAGAGTGAAAAAGATTATCAGCAAAATTGTATTATAAAAAAGGAAACGATGAAAATAAGTTAATTTGAAGGGTCTCATTGACATTGTATTGTATAAAGGTAATTATGAAAATAAGTTGTTTTTAGCTATACATATTACAAAATATAGATTATATACTACTTTTTAGAATGAACAAAGAATTAATCAATGTTCACTTTGGTGTCGGTATGTTTATTTTTATACCAACAAAATTATCTGTCGACATGATACCGCATCCTTCATATTTCACTTTACAGCACTTTCATTAAGAGATTAAACAAATTTAATATTTAAGGGCTTCATTCATTTTCCCAAGGACCTCTTTCAATCCTTCAATATGCAAATAATTCCCTCACGAAGAACCTATCTTGTCGTCTTCCTCATCATTTTTTCTTCCTGTGTTGCCTGATCCAGTTCCATCTGCTCTCATTGGTCCAAGACCTTACATGTGAAATTCTCCAACGTGGTTTTCCAAACTTCGTGAATTTGGCAGTCGGTTTGCACTGAACGTTTATGATCCTGTTATGTCTGACGGTTGTCCAAACTGCCCTGAGCCGGGAGACACTTGTTAAGTGAGGGAAGAATGTCTGAGTGAGCATGAATTTGATAAGTGGGCAGATTCTTAGTGAATATTTTCATGTTATGATGACATTTGTTTTCTTACACATCATAAGAGTGGGAACTTGGATAATAAATACTTAGAAAAGAATGGCCTCTTGTATCTCCATATCCCAAGCTCAAGGGATGGAGATGTTGCAGAACTAGGCAGCCTTAGGGAGCCCTTGCATTTTTAAATGGCAGTGGGCCAAGCTGGCCACAGGCAGCCAGCTCAGGGTTTTACTGAGCCCCCCTCCTAGGAATGTCTTGCGCCACAGGGGATGCTGCTCGTCGTTTGCTCTCAGTGGCTCCAGATCGCTCCTCTACTCCTCTACAGGTGACGTCTGGCCTTCTCCAAACTGAATGCTCTGCTCTGCCCCTTTCCTGCTACTGCACCACACCAAGTATGGACAATTCCCCCAAAGCATTGCCAACAGTGAACTATAAGGTTTAACCAACAGAATTTTTTTTTTTTTTAAATAATCTATCAGGCCAAGCTCTGAGTGCTTTTTTTTTTTTTTTGCTGGGAAAGATTCACCCTGAGCTAACATCTGTTGCCAATATTCCTCTCTCTTTTTCTTTCCTCCCCCCAAAGCCCCAGTACATAGTTGTATATTCTAGTTGTAAGTCCTTCTAGTTCTTCTATGTGAGCTGCTGCCACAGCATGGCTACTGACAGACAAGTGGTGTGGTTCCGCAACTGGGAACCGAACCTGGGCTGCCAAAGTGGACCGTGCCGAACTTTAACCACTAGGCCATCTGGGCTGGCTCCAAAATTTTTTTTAATCTACTGAAAGCTTGGAGATTAAAGAAGGGAATGACAACACAGAGCAAAACATTCAACAACTGGATTCAAGTGTGACTGCTCCCAATTCTCAGGCTGTGACTTTCCCAGTTCTATCCCCTTAGCATTCCTCCTCCCCAGCCCGGGATCCCTGCCCTGACCATCCCTGACCCTTTCCACTTCACTAGCAATGGTAGAGCCCTTAAGCCAGATTCTCACGCAAAGTCTAGCTCCTGAATCCTGGACAACTCCCCGGAACAGCTGCCATGCCATGCTCTCCAAGAATGCAAGTGTTCCTAAAACAATAATGATAAAAGGTTGGCAAAGATGCAATGCCACCCTCAATGAAGAGATCCTTTTACACTGAGTTCAGTTCCTCTTAGTTCTAAACCTCTCTAGTTAATAGATCCTTCAAACTTTCTCTTCAAGAGACAAAAACCAGACAGCACAAAAGCCCGCTGGCCCTTCTGACCATCATGGCTTCAAACCACACACAGGTGCAGCTCCACTGGGTCAGAGAGGAGGGTAAGTTTCTAGGGGTGGCCACGCAGGGGAAGGGGTCCACGAGCTCACCACACAGTCGAGGGTCCAAGAGCCCTAGCTGAACAGCAGGAGCCCCAGATTCCAGGTTCCCACAAGCTCACCCTCCCTGTGACCTTAACCCAGAAGCAGACTTCTATAACATGAGGGTCTCTGAAAGTCTTGCAAATGCCATGACTCTATCCCCGTACTCAGGGGAAGTTAGGACAGTAAAGAGGCTGTTTGCAGGTCCAATGGCCTCTGCGTTGCTGGAGTCCAGTGGAGAAGGACCCATGAAGAATTAGATGAGCTGGATCCAGGATGCCCAGGTCCTATAGGGAAGGACCATTAGCACAGGATCTAAGAATATGGACTCTGGAGTCAGATCAAGCTGGGCTCGTGTCACAGCTCCTCCACATTCTGGTCAAGAGACCTCGTGAGTCTGTTCACTTTTCTGTGCCTGCAGTTCCTCTTCTCTTCCCCAGGGCAAGCGTTAATGGCTCCCTCCCAGACCCTGTCCAGCCCAGCCCTTAGTGCCTTCCTTGGCCTGAGGGACCGTGGAGCTGGAGCAGGTTAGACTCCAGACTGAAGGCCACATCAGACTCAGTATTCTTTCATTCTCTCCCTTACGGACAGGCACTGGCCCTCCCTGAATTCTTCAGAAGCCCACCGGGCATCGTCAAAGAAGAATCCCTCTATTGTACCAATCAGACAACCCACATTGGGCTTCTCAGGCAGCCACAGCCTCAGCGGAGGATTCAGGCCTGTGAGCAGGGGAAGCCAGGCAGCCAGGGAAGGGGGTTGGCCAGGAGGACTCTCTGGAACTCCCGGTACCGTGTGAATTCCCACTCTGTGAAGCAGGCAAAGAACAGGGCATCCTTCTGAGTTTACAGCTCCCGGGGGTCCAGCCCTCCTTCTGGTTCCCTAGGCCCAGCCCTCCTTTCCCATTGTTGACATGACCCCTCGCTGAGGCCTCCTCACACAAAAACACAAAAGCTCCAGGCCCAGATCCTGTTTTTCTTTTTGCATGCACGCACACATACGCACACACACCCTTCCACACACACAGATTCTCACACATGGACACACAGCCTTTAGGTCCCTAATCAGAAGCTGTAATCAAAACCCACAAAGAAATGAAGCTTCCCAACAATGCACTCTCTGAGGCTGAGTCCTGAGCCTGTTTCCTGTGTTGGCCCTTGAACAGGAAGGGTTCAAAGGGAGGTAGGCAAGGGGTTCTGGCAGGAATAGAAGCTGTCAGGACACAAGCCTGGGGCCTTAGGGGACCACACAATGACAGACCATCAGAGCTAGGAGGGATCACATCTAAGCCCCCTCTTTCAGGTAGGAAAGTTCTGCATAGCGTGAGCCTCCAAACGGTCATCTGGGAGCTTGTTTAAGCCCGGATTCCTCAGCCAACCCAGACCTACAGAACAGAGTCTCGGGGTGGGTCTTGGAATCTGTAGGAATAGCTCTGTACCGGGGAGCTCCTTATGTCACGAGGAAGTCTGTGCCGTGGTGGCCAGATCTGCTTGCTGGTCACGCTGGACCCTGCCTGGCCCGTGACTCTCCCTCAGCCCTACCCTCCACAAAGCCCTGCAGAGGGGTGAAAACCTGCAGACAAGGAAGGCTATTTCTGCCTCTTCCCAGGGTCTCTTTTCCCCCAGTTCCTCCAGTCTTTGCTCCCATGACAGTTTTCAGAGCCTCCCCTAAACCCTCCAGTGGGCGTATCACTGCCTGTCTCCCCTTCACTGTGGGGCACACCTGGCCCCAGGCCCCAGATGCAGTGTGACCAGAGCATCCGTGATTTCCTGGCCTGTGACTGGCAGCCACGTTAGAAAAGTGACTTATTGGGACAGCATGGCCTCTGCAGAGGTGCCTCGCAAAGCTGAGGGTGCAAAGAGGCTCATGCGAGCTGTGAGAGCCCAGCTTTCACTGGCCCTGGCTGCCACCTGGACAACTCTCATCCTCTCCAAGGAAGGATCCTGCCTCCAAGGAAGACCCAGAGGCAGGTCCATGTGAGCTCATAAGCAGACCTCACATCTTTCACATTATCTGCTCCAGCATCTACCACCACCACCCCTGACCTCCCCACCCCCATCTCCATTGTCCACACAGCCACTTAATAATAACAGCTAGCCACATGCCAGGTACCATTCTACTGTATTAACTCATTTAACTTCAAATCCATTATGAGGGGGGCATCATCATCTCCATTTCACAACTGAGGAAATTGAGGCACAGAGAAGTTAAGTACCTTCCTCTAAGGTCACACAGCTCCCAAGTGGCAGGCCCAGGATTTGAACCCAGGCAGCCTGGCCCCAGACCCCACACTTTTAGTCTCTATCCAGAACTGGGCACTGTAGGTTTTGCCTCTGGGGCCCTCTGTGTGAGGTGCCTGGGCCAAGGGGACACTGTCCTGTGCTCCCATAGCCCTTATCTGAGAGGGCCGACCTGGGCCCCTGCAGAACTCACTGCTGTTCAATCTCCAAAGCGCCACAGCTTGTGGTTCTGGTCTCACCAAACCCCTCTGCCCGCCGTCCTCCCAGGTGCGTGTGCCTGTGGGCCAGGGGCAAAGCTCTGTGTCACACATCCTGCCGAGACACTGTGCTGCGCATGCCTGGTCCTGTGCGGCCCCTTCCTCACTCTCCTCCAGCCAGATGACAGAACAGCGCA